ATTGCATCAGATTCTTATCTTGCCCAGATACTACTGTCTCAACTGTCGATTAGTTGTCCTATGGCCGTTGTATGCGATGGCATATGAACATTTTAACGTTGCACGAACACACCGGCAAGCCTTACTAATAAGCAAATCAAAGTACTATAGACTGGCTCGGAAGCTCGATTTAAATCCAGTCGAGAATCTTTAGTCAATCTGCAAGGAGAGACTTCGTGGAATGGACATACAAAGTACTAATGGGCCATGTTTCATTGTACAAATACGAATAAAAGTAAATAATGACGGAATTATTCGTTTTGTTTCAATTAATTTGCACAAGGGTGTGTGTGGCGTGTTGAAACGACCACACTTTTATTCTAAGAACTGCTATAAAAAGAAAAGAAATTAAGCGGGGTCTTTTATAACGCGAATGATTTTCAATGTACTTCGCTCTGTGAACTTTAGCTGCGTTGTCGTAGCAACAGTCCCGATACTTTTTGATTATTATCGTATACATGTGTGTATTTCAAAAGTCCTTTTTACAGGCTTCAAACGAAACCGTAACTTGCGAAAACTAATAAACGGACTCCCTGATATTTAAACAAAACGGATTATGTAAGTTCTCGCAAGAGTTTGTTATTAGCTAAAATCAGAAATCGGTTTCCGCGTAACTGTCGTTCAGTTCACTGTATTACCTAATTACCTTCGGAGTCCTCTTCTTCAATATTACTTGCTGATATTTCTTTAATTAAGTCTAACTTTGATTAAGCCGTTTTCAATCAATATCCTCATAATAATCCGGAGAGAGTTATCCGATCAATTCAACTGAAGGTCTCCTGAAATAATGCGCGCGGCTGGTGGTTATCCGGCGTTGTCCGGGTTAGAAAAAGATTTGCCGACATGCAGGAAAGAACTTTCGGTAATTTTCTCTTTATTTTTTTATTTTTATTTTTTTATTTTTTTATCAAGATATCGAAGGCTTTATTTTTTTATTTTTTAATTAGGTGAAGATTTAATTTCATATTTTACCAAATTGAATGAGAATAATACCCAACATGATTATAGTAATAATAATAATAGTAAGAAGAAGAAGAAGAAAAAAGAACAGCAACAACAACAAGAAATTCAAAGAACAGTCTGTAACATAATCTCTCCTGATCTGGCAGCTCGACTTCAGGCATTTTCTCACCGTAGTGATATGGCTACCCTCACATATTTTTTGGCAATTGTTCTCGTGAGCTTTCCTCCTTGTTACCTTAACTGCGGGAATTTAAACATACTACTAGATTGGCAACTAGGTTTCACCTTTTTACTGTTGAAATAGCTAGATGCAACCGTAAGTTCTATTCTAGTAGGTTCTTCACGCGCACATCACGCTAGTCTCTATTCCTGATACTTAAAATTTCCAAATCTTTACATGCAACATCAATCGCCATCTTTGTTTTCAAGAATCCCGTTTTCTATTGCCTTTTCTCCTCAATAAGGTCTACTCATATTTTTTCACTCCCAGTAACTTATTCCGACTTATTGGCACTATCCCCTTACTTGGGGTGAAATGATTAAAATAATAATAATTATTATTATTATTATTATTATTATTATTATTGTGGCAGCTCAGGACGGAAGCTTCGCAACCAGATGCTATCACTGTCATATAATCAAAGATGTAACTTACCGGAAATGCAGGATCTGCGGAAAATATGATGAAACTGTCGACTATATTATCTCAGGATGTCCGGAATTGGCAAAAAAAATGAATATACCCAAAGATATAACCAGATGCACTGGAAGATATTCAAGAAGGACAAAATCGAAACCACTGAGAGATGGTATGAACACTAACTAGACACAGATACACAAGATAGCGATGTAACTATCCTTTGGGACATGCCAATTCAAACCGACAGCGAAATAAAAGCTAACAGACCTGATATTATCATAAAAGACAAGAAATTCAGGAAGTGTATTCTTACTGACATCGAGATCAACAGGATGTGGGGAATGATGACTGAGACTGTGCCAATAATAATCGGAGCTCTGGGCATCGTGAGAAAAGCAATGGACAATATTGCTAACAGTGTCCCGGGGTAGATTCTTGGAGTTACACGTTTTCTAGAAATATCCGTTTCAGTTATTTCCTTTTAACTCAACTCTCAAGTGTTTTTCACCTCTGCTGTGGCCAGGTATTGAACCCACACATCTTTGGTCAAATCACTGGATTACTTCAACTAAGGCCTTATTCAGGTGATATATTTTATCCAGTGGATACTGGATAAAAGTATATCACCTGAAGAAGCCCGGAGCGTTCAATGGTCGAAACATCGTGAATATGACCAGGAAGATGAGGACAACAGTCCGAACAATATAAATAGTGTAAGTAATCCTTGTCTAACATTGCTAAGCTGTGCATATCCTCCTAGGGATTAACGCAATGTATATCATTGTTTATGGTTATGAGTAGTGTGAGATTCAAGGAGTATTTTTGTTTTGTTTTTAAGGTTAAAGACAAACAAAGCGAGACTTAGGAAAATACTCAGCCGAGGAATGATAGCGCGAATTGGGAACCAGAGCTAAAGTTACTTCTAAATGGACAACGTCTGTAGTATTATGCGTATTTAGCGCGAGTTTAATAGTAGGGCATTATCTGGCATGCCCTTATGAGTCTGGGTGTCGGGACGGGTGGATTGGGCTTCGTAAATTTGCATTCCAGCAGCACTGTTTTTTGTCTTGCTACTATTTCCTCCAATATTACTACTAATAATAATAATATATGGCATATGGGAACATCAACAATTTCTGTTGTAGTTGGAGTCCTCAGATTGGTTGGAAACGATTCCAGTAGACTCATTGAAGAGGTTCCTGCCTTAAAGAAATAGAAAAAAATTGTTCTCACGAGTACAGCCCACATCTTACGTAGAGCTTTATCTATGTAAAATATGTATGTGTATTTTTTTTAATTGGTCAGTGGGAAGTGTCATAATGCCATTTCTAACTTTAAGTCTCTGGACGGGACCTGGAAAGAAATGAATATACACCAGAAATCAAAGGAAATAATAATAATAATAATAATAATAATAATAATAATAATAATTATAACCTATCAAAATTCAAGGACCTTGAAATCGAAATCTCAAAAATATGGCTCATAGGAACTTCAATAATCCCTGTTGTAGTTGGAGTCGTCGTATTGGTTGGAAAAGATACCAGTAGACTAATTGAATGGATTAAACCCATGCCTTAAAGAAATACAAAAATTGTTTTCACAAGTACAACCCACACCTTACAAAGGCCTTTGTCTATGTATTTTTTATTTTATTTTAATTTTTTTTTCATGATGCTATCTCTAACCCTAGGTCCCTCGGCGGGACCCGGAAATAAATGTGTACACACCAGAAATCAAAGGAAATAATAATAATAATAATAATAATAATTATTATTATTATTATTATTATTATTATTATTATTATTATTTTACAATAATTATTTTATAATATTATTTTATAATAATTGCATAATAAAATAAGAAATAATATAAGATAATAGACAAAGAAAAATATAAGGATAATGGATAATTAAAACAATCACGGCTCTTCTTTAAAATACGACATCGCTTTCCCAATGAAAATACACATCCGTTCGCTCCGACATCCGCGATTATATCTCTTGAAATAGCAAGAAGTTCGCGTCACCCAGTAAAAACAATAACAGACATAGATTACATAGATTACTTGGCCTTTTTTTTTAGACACGATTGATAAGGCTACAAAACTCCTCCATCTCTTCGAAGAAGCGGCCCGTGAGATTGATCTCTACATTAATGCTGGCAAAAGAGAATTTATCAGTTACAACCAAGAAGAAGAAATTAAGTCCTGGAGTGTCTTTGATGGTCTGATCACTTTCTTCTCTGACAATCTTAAGAGGGACTTCTTTGAGGCTACGGTAGAATCTGTCTTGATCTGGCTCAATAATATGGAAACTGACAAAACACCAAGAATCATCATTTGGCGGAACATACACAAGGATATTACGAGTTGTATTGGACATCAGCTGGAAGAAACAACCAACAAAGAAACAACCAACAAAGAAACGCCTGTATGGAGACCTTTCTCCTATCGCAGTTTCGCTCAGAGAGAGAGAAGGCTTCGGCTAGCGGGTCTCTCATGGAGAAGTAAGTCAGAACTTGTGAGTGATACCCTCCTATGAAACCCATTGCGCGGCAAAAGATCGGTTTGAAGCCCTCATCACACTTCCATTGACCAGCTTTTAAATGACTCTGGATGCCATCTGAAGGAGCTGCCGACAGCGATGTCTGAGAGAGATGTTTGGAGGGAACGCGTCAGGAGAATCCAAGAAAGATTCTCGACTTGATTATTATTATTATTATTAGTAGTAGTAGTAGTATTAGTAGTAGTATTATTATTAGTAGTAGTATAACGCGGTATCTCTATAGTACGGGAGATATAACATTTATCTTGTTATTGCCATAAGCTCAATCATATCAGTTTGCATTCTTTTGTTTCCTGCCATTCATGGATTATCAAAGAATTTTCCTTCATTAAGAATAATTAGTGGCAAACCGAAAACTTAATTTTTTTTATTGTAAATAAGCAACTCCGTCCAACTATTTTACAGACTGGTAGGATATACAATTCGTCTTCAATCTTTTTTTTCCCTATTTACTTTTGTGCTGTAGATACAGGGTTAATTCGACACGCTTAAGTGACAGGAAATTAGAATCGATGTGCCTAGTTCAAATTCGGCATAAGACCCTATGTGTGTGTGTTTTTTTTTTTTGGCATTAAACTAAAAAGAGTCCATCTGCTGTTCCAGTTCTTTAATAGAAGATCAAACTGGGAACTCTTACGTTGATTGCATTCCAGTCCAAAAGAAGAATAACACTGAATTAAAAACCTATAAGGCAATGCTAAACCACTACACTATCTCTTCCACAAACAATTATTGCAATTTATAATTCATAGAAATATTAATAAAACATGGAAGATCTGGAGAGCCATAACCTACGTCCCAAGAAAGAGATAGATAGATAGATAGATAGATATAACAAGAAAGATATGCTAGACATAACAAAAAAGAACTGATGTCTTATTATATTTTTCTTTTCGTTTTATATGCCGTGTTCATTCAGGACGTAAGGGATGATGGGTCTCCACTTCTTCCTATCTCTTCTAGCTCTCAATAAGTTGTGTCTCTTTGTTACTTCACCTAGGCCATATTCTATCATCCACTTACTTAACAGGTTGGTATGTCATACGTTGCTTTCCCTTTTCTCTCCTTCCCTCTATTCGAATTGTGAGTATAAGATTCTCCAAGCCCTCCTTTCACATTGATCCGGTCGTCGAGACATCACCTTATTAACAATAATCTTGTTCACGGATTATATTTAGAAAATTGCACTTATTAATACTAACTAAATCCCCGTCTGACGAACAGAGAAATGCAAGTTACCATCGAAGTTCTTTTCGCTTTCAAATATTTCTTTATAATAAAATTTAGCAAGATATTTATTTTACAAACTTCTTTTTTCAATATGCCAAATCCAATTGAATTTCTTTCGCTTGACACATTTACACAGATGTAACCATAAAAAGATTTGAATAAATTTCGAATGTTTATAGTAATATTAATAAGAAAAATTAATTAATGAAACTATTTTTCACTTGTTTAAATAATTCACTATATTTTACGGAAGACATATATTAGTTTGACTTATAAAGGTTTTTCGGACAGCGTTCTACTAATCTGTAGTAATTTGCAACATCAGACGCCAATAATGCTTATTATCACGAACATCTACGACTGAAGGCAGGAAATTGTTCTTTCTGTACAAAAACGATGAATTAAAAAAAAAAACTTTATTCTCAGAAACATTGCTTATATATGACAATTTTTGAAATTTGTATTACAAATAAATAACACTGATAAAATATTCATTAAAATATGCTTTTAAAAATTATTTATGCAAATTACATATTACCGCTTATGTTGTAAATGCCAAACATTTTCACGTAGACATATATTTTATTAATTTATTTTGGTTAATATGTCTATTTGTGTATACATGTGTATTTCCTACTCTCCGCATAGCTACATAGAACTAACCATGAGAAATATGAATAATTTTTCGAATGTTTTATATTAATAATAATTAATTCCTTAAACTTACTATTTCTCATTAATTCAGCAGATTTTTTAAAATATCGAGTTAAATGAATTATTTGATTAATTTAGTAATTTCATCCGGTAATTTCTTTTCGGCATAGAACCGATAATGTCAGACGGCAGCAGAGCGCATTACGAACGCTGCCGGAAATAAGATCGTAACTAATGTGTCCGCGCCTAAAATTATGGAATTTTATACTGACGTTATTTTTTCTTAAAATTATTTATCTTTTGTTCGCTTATAAAAGTGTTGCTTTTAGGAGATGAGATTGCCTTTGTTTTCGGTTTTCTTTAACATACTGATATTTCTTTCTGCTAAATTAGGAAGGAATTCTGACAAGGCGGATATAAATACTTTCTTTACGAACTCAATTAATTAAACACACATACACACACACATAAATATATAATTGGTATAAGAATGACAATTTGCCGACTCTTAGTATAAACGAAGTTAACATCAGTCAGAAAGAGGCATACAAAAAAGCATGTCTCTCTTTTTAAATGAAAGGTAAATTTAAAATGTTCTGAGTTTGAACTATAATCGTTCAAGTGAAACGTAAGCCTTATCGTTATCATCGTCGTTGTAAAACCAACATACGCATTAACATTTTTATCAGAGCTGCAATCTCCTAAATGATATTTAAATTCATATAGGACATTGGTGTTTATAAGACGCTGGTTGACGGAGAAGAGTTGTTTAAAGAAATATCACATTAGTTACCTCCCTTACATAGAGGTAAAAAAATATTTTTAATTTACGGTGTTAACGCATAATTCATCCATAGATATGCAAACCCTGAAGATGGTCGAAGTACTTGGAAAAATAAAAATTATTTGAAAGAAAATTTTGTAACTTTTCTTAATCAATTTTCTACAGCCAGCAAGAAATTAATTCGTGGACTTGAAAGGATTAAACTAAAATAAATAGACATAATACGTTTAAATTATTTAACCAAACATGCCTGAATGAAAATATGCTGCTTAAATATAATATAAACACACACACACACACATATGCGCGCGCACACACACACACACACATACATATATATATTTATATATACAAACACACAAACACACACATATATATATAGAGACATACACACACACACACACATATATATATATATATATACATACAAACACACACACATATATATATATATATATATATATAATTATTTTTTATAAGTTAGATTCCTTTGCGAAGGAATCATATTTTTTCAAAAACAATTATTATGTAAGCTCTACTTCTGTATGGAGCACTGTTTTTTTTTTTTTTAAATAATAAAAACAAAATGACTAAAGAACACCGGATTATTTACCTAACGTGTTCTTTTCCTATTTTTCTACATAACACACACACACACACACACACACACACACACACACACACACACACATATATATATATATATATATATATATATATATATATATATATATATAACGTCATCCACAGACAGACTGTTTCGCTGTTTACAGCTCATCAGTGTGGCTAGACATCCGGTTGCCTCTAGCTAGGATCGAAACCCGACTGAATTGGTGTCAGTCATGTTAGAAATTATGGCTTTGTTCGCTCTGAAATGTTGTCGCTTTGACATCTCTCCAAAACCTTGTTCCGCCATCCATTCTTTCAAGATAACTAGGCAGTTCATACGCCGTTTGCCTTTGTCCTATTTGCCCTCAATCTGTGTTGCTTGTATCAAATTTTCCAAGATGTCGTTCTTATATACGTGCCGTAGAAACTTCAACTGTCTCTTCCTAATGTTATGTATCGGTGTCCATTTTGTTTCCATTTTCTCCAAAACATCGTTGTAGCTCACGTTTTTGTTCCATCGTATTTGTTGCTTCACAGAATGATTTTACATAAGAGTTCAGTAATCTTTTCTTTGTTTTGTTTTTATGACTTTCTTTTTTCTGTTTGTTTATACTTTCCTTAACTTTTGGAATACTTACTTGATACGCTTTTCTGATTTCAACATCGCATAATCCGTCCCCTGTTAAAACACTTGTCACGTATTTAAATTATTGTATTTATTCGATTTTCGTATCTCTAATTTGGAATTTACATGTTGGACTCTTCCTTTTATTAACAATCATGCATTCTATTGAGATTATTTCTCAGTTTCCGCCACGATATTCCGTAAAATTTCATGTAGTTTGTTTTCTGTATCTGCTATCAACACCGTGTCATGTGCATATATTCTATTGTTAATAATGTAGCTATCAACGCAGACAAAATTAGACTTTCGAAAATTTTAAAAAAGATATTCTTACAGCACGTAAGTGATCATGTCTCTTTATATTAATTTATTTTTAATTTCTGTGAGTGATCAGATCATCTTAGGAAATATAGTGATGCAATTTCCCGTTGTCTTCTCTCCGCTGAAGAATTTATCCTCGTCAAACAATCACGCTCTATTTAACGCCGCAAATTGTGAATAAATGCGTAGTGCTTCTGTTTGCTTCTTGAGAAAGAGCGTTCATACTGATTATTCATATATTTCTTAAGAAAATGGTATTAATTTCTGATCATGCTTACATAATAAAACAATCTTTATACGCAAATTAATGAACGTCAGGAACACAGATTTAAAAATTGCGTAGATATATGAAAAATTCATCAAGGAAGACAATATGGCTATCACTGCAGAATTGTGCCTGTAAGAATTCATGCGTGCTCCTGTGCGTTTGTATGATGCAAATGTCACATTATTTCACAATGTAACGCCACTTAATACGCACACTCTCTCCACTGGGATGATGGTCACGTGATCAGTCTGCAATGTTTAATTAAATAAATTCATTCCCGCCTTTTTTCGATTCCCAGATGGAAGACATTTTAGTGACGTCACTAATTATTCGGACATTCCACAAAAATATGTTGAAATGTTAATTTCACCTGAGATTCGTTCCCCTACGCAATAAAATTTAAAAAAACAAAAAAAGCAAAATATCTTAAAGTATTTTTATTTATTTTAAATGATTGATAAAAAGAAAAATAGCTGTAAATATTAAGAAATACGAAATTAAGGAAGACAACAGATAGATAGATATGAAATAACTCATATAGATAGATAAAAAGATAGATATGAAGAAACTGAGATAGATAGATAGAAAATGGGTAATGAAAAGGCGGAGATAGATAGATAGATAGATAGATAGATAGATAGATAGATAATGAAAAGAGGGAGATAGATAGATAGATAGATAAATAGATAATGAAAAGAGGGAGAGAGATAGATAGATAGATAGATAAATAGATAATGAAAAGAGGGAGAGAGAGAGAGAGATAGATAGATAGATAGATAAATAGATAATGAAAAGAGGGAGAGAGAGATAGATAGATAGAGAATGAAAATAGATAGAGATAGATAGAAAGATAGATAGATAGATAGATAGATAATGAAAAGGGTAGGGAGATAGATAATGAAAAGATAGATAGATAGATAGATAATGAAAAGATAGGATAGATAGATAGATAGATAGATGAAAGAGGGATAGATAGATAATGAAAGATAGATAAATAGATAGATAATGAAAAGAGGGAGATAGATAGATAGATAATGAAAAGAGGTAGATAGATAGATAGATAGATAGATAGATAGATAGATAGATATGACTGAGCAGATAACTAGCATATTAGACAAGATATTGATATTGACCATATCACCGAGTTTGTATTAAAGATAAAGAACATTAGACAACTGATAGATATGAATCGAGTGGAAAAAGGAAGTCTGAGATAAATGCAACTATAGACTAACATAGACAGAGAAAATCTTAGATAGGAACTGATTAAACAGATTATAGACTTAGAAAGGAAGGAAGGACGGACCTACCGACGTGAGATTACCAACACAGTACCCGTTAAAATTTTACGTTTTTGCTATTTTCATTTTCTGATGAATCTTAATTCTTCACTTACTAATTGAATAAGCACCTTGAGACTTTTGCGACGATAAAAATACCCGTGGAAATTCCCCCATTGCATCGTTAAGTATTTGAGCTTAACAACTTTTAACAAAATATTGCAAAAATAATCATAAGTAGGAATGTAGATTATAATTTAAATAAGAGGGTGCAATTGTAAAGACGTGAAATAGGCAGTATCTTCCATTTCACTGAAGCAATAGAGGAGAACGTTGTCTCTTCCCCACTCTTCCCTTCTTTCTTTCTTTCTTTCTTTCTTTTCTTTCTTTCTTCTCACAGATATTTCTTTAGTATTTTATTTTGACTATTCCCTGCTTTCTTTTTTTTTCTTTCTCTCTTTCTCTCGCACCTAATCCATAGTTGTTATCCAATTGATATTTTTCTTTTTTTATTCTCGCCTAGATCTTTCTTTATTATTCTACTCCAAAGTCTCTCTGCATCTTTCCTTCCTTTCTTTCTTTCTTTCTCTGTTTATTTCTTTCTTTCTTTGTTTCTTTCTTTCTTTCTTAAATCTCACCTAAATCTTTCTTTTTTATTATACTGCTTTCTTTCTTTCTTTCTTTCTTTCTTTCTTTCTTTCTTTCTTTCTTTCTTTCATTAATCTCACCTAAATTTTTCTTTTTATTCTACTGTTACTTTCTTTCCTTTTTTCTTTCTTTCTTTTTTCTTTCCTTTTTTCTTTCTTTCTTTTTTCTTTCTTTTTTTCTTTCTTTTCTTTTCTTTCTCACCTTTCTTTTCTTTTACTTTCTTTCCTTTTTTTCTTTCTTTTTTTCTTTTTTTTTTCTTTTCTTTCTCTTTCTTTCTTTTTTCTTAAATCTTTCTCTTTCTTTTTTATTCTACTGTTTCTTTCTTTCTTTCTTTCTTTCTTTCTTTCTTTTTTTTTTTTTCTTTCATCTCACCTAAATTTTTCTTTTTTCTACTGTTACTTTTCTTTTCCTTTTTTTTTTTTTTTCTTTCTTTTTTCTTTTTCTTTCTTTCTTTCTTTCTTTCTTTCTTTTCTTTCTTAAATCTCACCTAAATTTTTCTCTTTTATTCTACTGTTACTTTCTTTCTTTCTTTCTTTCTTTCTTTCTTTCTTTCTTTCTTTCTTTCTTAAATCTCACCTAAATCTTTCTTTTTTATTATACTTCTTTCTTTCTTTCTTTCTTTCTTTCTTTCTTTCTTTCTTTCTTTCTTCACCCAAACCAAACAGTGTCTCTTTTGTGCCTTTTCCCGTTTCCCCCGCACCCAATTTGAGGACATAACTAATTAATGAATGTAGGAACAAACAGAATTATAATATGATTATCAGCAAACAATTCCCAAGAGTCAACCGAAACAACACAACACTAATGACTTCGGAGAAGGCATGAATTCTTCCCGGATTTTCTGAATCAGTCAGTAGAACACTCGGAACCGTTCAGTACCATTATTTTTTTTTTTATTTTTTTACCGAGGAGAGTATCGCATAATATCAACTGCCACTTCCCCATGAAATCAGAACAAAAAAAAATGAAATTAGCTAGACACTTTCCAGACAATCTGTGTAAAGGAAGATCATTTTGCATTGCAGAATTTCTTTACAGCCAACCCATTTTTGATGATCTTCCAGGACATAGATCACTTTCAACAGATTCCTGTCAAAGTCTGAAGCGTCGTTAACAAAATATTATCAGCATTGAAACATCACCCAATTTTTTCTTCCTCATTTAAACATTTACCGCGGATGAATGAGCCCAATATATACATGTCACAATTGATTCATTTTATCTTTATTGTGAATGTGGAACAGACTAACAATGAACAAGCAATGACGTGTTACTGGTGACTGAGATATACTAAAGAAGAGTAGTCACATTTGCAATAAGGCGATGACTGAACGTTTGCAATGTTACGCCAACGGACAGTCACACATAAGAAAATAATATATAAATTTCAATATATCAAATAAGATCTGTCTATATCTCTGAGATGAGGTATTATGTGCACTTGAATTATTTAAATTATTCGGGCTGTTATCCTAATTTCTATTGCCATATTGACAACATTTCGGCCGTTGTGCGCTCCGGCCTACTTCAGGTGATTGGAACCTCAAACCAAATCCTTTATTTCGTCCACTGGGGCAGATTGTTCTAGTTTCACGTGCCATGCCTCTTCAGGATGTCTCAGTTATTTCCTTTTAACTCAACTCGACAAGACTTTGGTTCAACACTGCTGTGGCCTGGAATCGAACACACAACTTTTTGGGTCTAGTCACTGGATCTAACCAACAACTTTATCCACTGTTCTCAAAGACACATGGCCTAGTGGATAAAGACGCTGGATATATATATATATATATATATATATATATATATATATATATATATATATACTAGCAGCATGGCCTGGCGTTGCCGTGCTTGATTCAAAAATCGTACGACTCATACAGCAATCGCTATCGCTTGACTTAAAATATTTTTGCCTTCCTTGCCTTTAAAGGAGAGCCGGAGTGCCCTTTGCCGTGCTGATGTTGCTATATGCCTTACTTCTTGCCTAACTCACACTGTGAATGACAAAAGAATGTTAACAACAGATACTTTTTCACACCCAACCCAGTTCTGCGGAATCAGAATCAACGTTGATTTGAAGCAAGCGAATGAGCCAACTGGATTAAAGTGGCATACAGATTCAAATTTTTCCCACTTGTGACGAATGCAGCTATCGATTTTTTTTGCATGATAGCATGCTAGTTAACATTCGTGTCAGTCAGCTGTTGGCTCTCATGCTAGCATATAGAATCTTCCTGCTTATTCGTGGCAGCCAGCTATAGGCTCTCACTCTGGCCCATAGAAAATGGCTGCAAACTAAATGAAAACTGCCGTAGAAGCATGAAAAAATCGATTATTTCTACTATCTATGGGAGTTGGGAAATGCAAATTCGGTCTTGAGCTTCCCGCTAACTTAGTGCATGAGCATGTAAATTTTGGAGCAAATCCGTCGAAAATTGCGGCCGTGCATTCGTTACACACTAACAAACACACAGAGAGAGACACACAGACACACACACACACATCCTACATTATATATATATATATATATATATATGTGTGTGTGTGTGTGTGTGTGTGTGTGTATGTATCTGTATGTGTGTGCATATATATTTTATTATAAATATCTAAATGAGTAGGTATATATTTGTAATATAGATGGATGTATGTCTATATAGATAGGTGTAGGTGTGTGTTTAAAATACGTTTCAAATATAATTTCAGATACTTTTTGAACTATATTCGTAACTTTAATAGATATACACTGGAGAATTAGGATCCCATTTATTTTACTTTTAATTTACAGTACCTCCGTACCCTGTTAAAATGTAATAAATACATCCGGATTAATATACTTTACAAATAGAATTCTCTGGATGTCTTACTAATTAATAATTATTTTATTTAAAACCCTCGAGTAATTTCATTTAAATCTCTTGGCGAATTATACTAGGGAATTTTATTAGAGTACGGTAAATTCTCAATCTTTCGCTGAGATCTTAATATTTTTTTAAATATCCATAACCAAACACTATTTTTAAGATGAATTTATAAAAGTTTGTTAAATGCAATATGTATATGTCAGATTCATAGCGATTAAGTTGCACAGACAGTGTTACTTATCTCCCATTGACTTAACAAGATTTTCATTCAACCTCTAAAGGAAAATGCAACATTGTAGCCTATGTCATATTAATTTAGATCACTTCAAACCTTAAAGTTTATCAAGGATAATTCCTCGGATCTTCTTCCTCCACCCCTTACGCCGCCATTTCATTTTAATAATTTTGAATCTTTTTCTTTCTCTCCTTCATTAAGATATCTTGAATTTAAACTGGAGTATTTTTTCCCCTTTTATATTTGGTTTGTAGGTTTGAAAGATTGAAGGCGATTTTTATAGTTTTCATGAGATAAAGATTATAACCTAGTCTGTCTTTGAAATAGAGCTCTCTTTGGATCTTTATCCTCTTGGAAGTTCAATACGGATTACCATATTAATTTATCATATATATATATATATATATATATATATATATATATATATATATATATATATATATATATATATATATATATATATATATATAAAGCCTCATACAGAATACAGAAAGAAGTGGACGGCCGTTTTGTGCGACTTCTTTGTCACCGAGGGCCGTTGGAACGGTTGGTATGACGTTTGCATGATAACCTATATGGCAGAGTTTCAATTCTCGGTATCGGATGCGCACTGCTGATGAGTCCCAAATATAGGACGAAACGGCCGTCCAGTGCTTTCTGCATTCTGTTGTGGTTTCTTCAGACTCGATGAATTACTTAATTATAATTATTAAATCCTCCTAATAATTCCTCAATTATATATATATATATATATATATATATATATATATATATATATATATATAATCATAATAGGGATTTTTTGTAATCCGAATGCAGAAGACATTTTGAATCTCCTCCAAAACCTCAGCCATCAGCAATTCTGGTATAGTCATACTTGTCCATTGTTTGACATTGTACAACCAGGTTTTCCGTTGCCGTCAACTCACATGTCCACTTTCAACGGTAACTTGCATGATGATCTTGCACAGGTTGTTGTGCCTTGTGATGTGTCCAAACCACGCCATTTTTTCTTCGTTGGACAGTGACGTGAACAGGGTCCTGTTGGCCCCAAAAACTTACGACACTTTTCGGCATAAACTCATTGGTTTTATGTTTCCAATAGAAGATGTCATGGATTTTTCACATTTCAACTATCCACAAACGGGTGGATCCATCTCCCTGTTTCACATCCATGTCGGAGAGAAGGAGACTTTATATACATTTGCAG